TCTAGCTGTCAGCTCCCAAAATTCACCCCGAGTCAATACCGCGACGCCAACATTTCCCCCTGCTTTGCCGCTCACCTCAAACACAAATCATTACGACCAGTAAACGAACGAATTCGACTACTGCTCATGCTCTCTAGAATCATGATCATACAAGACATCCCCCTTCATGATTATCGATTCAAGAACAGCAAACATGCGATACAAACCAATAATATGAAACACGTAACACACATGGCATCAAGCCCCAGAAAAATTTCGTTCCGTATGCAAACTGTCTTTTCAACTGGAACTCCGAAAGCCCCCCTGTTCCCTGAGCGGTATGCCTTCATGCATGTCAAACAACGCGCTATGATCCCATAATATGGAGCATTCAGCTGCAAGGCAAAACGCGACTGAAAACATACCAAGAACCAAGGAAAATGTGCCCACGTGCTGCTTCCCATTCCACAGGTGGTGACAATGCTTCTCTTGTCGCAGCGCAAAATAAACATGCAAACAAGTACAAAAAAGTAAAAATGTATGACACACACGCCGTGGCACACACGTGTTTTCTGCATCGAAGGGAACGGTTCGCTAGCAAGGGAAAAACAGACCAACAAAAAATATAAATGCGAAGCCAAATGGCGAAGCTAAAACGTGCATGCCTGCTCATAAAACTGTACAAACTCGTAAACGTTTCACATGTTCTCCAACTTGGTTGTAACAATGTGAGGTCGTCGCTGCCACCGTGTTCTCCCCGTTCCCGGTCGACTCGAGGGCGCCGCCGCCGCTGCAGCCGCTTCCATCGCCGCCGTTGCCGCTCCCCCGCCACCACGACCGTCATGAGTTCCAGCGCCAACACAGCTGCCGGTGACGTCGCTGCTGCCGCCTCTACCACCGCCGCCGTGGTCACCCCTGCAGCCGCCGCTCCCGTCGCTGCTGTGGCTGCCGCCGTTGCCGCCGCCGGAGCTGCCACTCCCGTTCCTGCCCCTATCGAAGGGGTAAGCCACCCCTGGTACCGCCCCCTGTCTCGTCGCGCCACGCAAAGATGCCTTACCGGGGTCTAAGGGGTGCGTCGGGGCTCCCCTTCAGGTTTCATCCGACCCCTCATCCCCGCTCCCATCATCGCCACTTTCCTCGCTGCTGCTGCTGCTGCTGCTGCTGCTGCTGCTCACTTCATCCTCAGTCTTGCCGGGGTCGAAAGGGTGCGTCGGGGCTCCACTCCAGGTTTCATCCAACCCCTCGTCCTCGCTCCCATCGCCGCCGCTGTCCTCGCCGCTGCAGCTACAGCTGCTGCTGCTATTGCTGCTGCTCACGTCCCCCTTAACCTTCCCGGGGTCGAAAGGGTGCGTCGGCGCTCCACTCCAGGTTTCATCCAACCCCCGGTCCCCGCCCCGTCGCCGCCGCTGTCCTCGCTGCTGCAGCTGCTGCTGTTGCTGCTGCTGCTGCTGCTGCTGCTGCTGCTGCTGCTGTTGCCCACGCCCCCCCCAGCACATTGGCCATCAAGCTCCTCCAGGACTGGGAAGGGCCTGGTTGTCGCACCAACCTGTTCCTTCAACTCTTCGTCACACACCTCCGTCACCGGTGCCGCCACCGCCCCCTGCGGCCGTCTGGACACCCGACGCCAACGCGGCGACCGGGGACGCCGCTGCTGCTGTCGCCGCTGCCGTTCCCCCCGCCATCCATACCGCCGCCGCCGCCACTGCTTCCGGTCGCGTTGCTGCCGTCGACGGGGTTCTGGCCGAAGCCGGCCGCACTACCGCCGGCGCACCTCCGGCTGCTGTCGTGGTCGCCGGTGTGGCACTGGCCGAAGCCGTCCGCATTGCCGCCGGCGCTCCTGCAGCTGTCGCCGTTGCCGCCCCCGGTGCTCTGACTTCTGCCGCTGCCGCGAGGGGAGAAGGATGTGCGTGGGCACGAGGCCGACGAACGGCTGGCGGCGGTAACCCCAAAGAACGTCCGTGGTGTACCCCGCGGCGCCGGAGGGGAAGATGGCCTTGTAGCAGTCGTGGGAGAGGAAGTCGCCAGGGTTGAGGTAAAAACGCTGAGCGCCCTTCGGCGCGATCTTGGCGGAGACACGCGCGCAGTCGACACCCGGCGTGAGGAAGGGCAGAGGATGACATAGAAGGCGCTTCCCGTGGAGCATCTCGTACGGGCACAGCATGTCGGCCTTCTTGTCGAGTCGCGGCTGTGTGTTTATGCAGCCCGACATCCAGCTCCATGCCTCCGGCCATATACGCTTGTAGTCGCAGGCCGGCCAAGGAAACTGAAAGTCGGGGAAGAGCAAGAAAGCATCCGCGAAGGCCGCCCTGCCGCCCTCCCGCACGAGCCCAATCCAACGCTCCACCCTGCAGTTACGCGTCTGCCCTCCGTCCGGGGATGTCAGCTCGCGAGTGATGCCGAACTCCAGAAGGAAGTCGCTCACCAACGCGTTGACCAGTCATTCCGTCCGAAGAAACTGGAAGTCGCCATGGGCGGCCCGCAGAGGGTGAAGCGAAACGAGTACTTTGCGGAGTGCTTTCGTCACGGTGCTGGCGTGCTTGTCCGGCAGATATTTTGACGATGCCGTGGTTGCTGTAATCATCGACCAAGGCGAGGCTGTAGGTGTTACCACCGGCGTATGGCGGAAGCGGGCCCATGAGATCGGCGAACAGGCGCTGAAGAGGTCGCGAGGCCGTGGAGGGCGTCATCGAGGCGATCGCCTTGCGGATGCCGGTGCTGCTACCTCCGATACCGCTACCGCTGCTGTCACCACTGCCGCCACCGATGCTCCCATCGGTCTTCCGCTGCTGCTGAAGCGGCCCTCGGTCGAAAGCTGGAGCTGTACCCGAAGCGACATTGCAGGACTGTACAGGTTGCTGTTGTTGACGAGGTTGCTGCGGTAGAGGATGCTGCTGCCTGCGACTCTGCTGGCCAACGGGTTGCTGCTGGACCGGTTGCGGTGGCGTGTGCCTCTGCTGCACGCACTGCTCCTGCTGCCAATGAGGGGTGTATTGGCAACGTGCTGCAGCAATAGTAATACGCTGCTGCTGCGGCTGTGCAGCCGGAGGAGGAGCAGCGGGAGGGCGTTGGTCACCAGCTGCTGCTGATGCTGGTACTGGCAGTGCCCTCTGAGGACGTGGTTGTGGCAGCTGCTCTGCTTCACACCGCTCGTCACCTGTTGCTGGTATCTGTGGTACCGGTACACGCGGAGCTTCTTCCCCTCTCTCCGAAAAAAAAATCGTTGGGGCCGGCAAATCTCGCCACTCCCATGAAAACCAGCCGCATATCAGGCATCGCCCACTCTCCCACTCGCGGATTCCTCCGCTGAATTCCTCTCCTCTACTTCATCCACTCTCCTCCGTAACTCCGCATTCTCGGCTGCCGCTTTTCTCACGTCTTCTTCCAACTCTCTCTCGCTCTCTTTCCGTCATCGCTGAACCAACACCTGGCCTATAGCAAGGGTCCATCCGATACATCGGGTAAGTGTGCACTGCCGCCCTCAGCGGTCTGTGGTGTTGAGACTGGATGCTATGCTATCCGTCACGCAAGCCCCTCAGGCAAGTGCGGGAATCCGCCGTGTGCTCACCCGAAGGCCCCGCACTTGGACCTCAACCGCATACATACCCACCACACCCATACTTCCCGTACGCGTATCCCCCACAGAGAATGCACAGATCGGATTCATATCCAAGTGCCACAAACATAATTTTCCGCTTCGCAAGTTTGCTTTTGGTGTTGTGTTGACATGTATGTATGTATCAAGTATTTTTGATTTTCTCCCGTTAGACTATTGGACTCTGTTGTCTGCCCATCTGGCCCCTATCCTCCACTTCTACCAGCTAGATGACCCACAACCGAGGTCACATAGGAGGGGGGGGTTGGACCCCCTCCTGTGGTTCTTGCCTGAGATATTTTCATCGTGAGAAGGGTACAGCAATCCCTTCCCTTTCGACTTATGAAGTCGATCAAGTTTACTAACAACGAGCTTTGCAGCGCGTCGCTTCCAACGGAGACCAGGATTTAATTAGCGAGAGAGAACAAACTCACTCTGTCGGGACTCGAACCCATAACCTGGCCCTTGGAAGGCTGTGAGGCTACCTACTAGACCACCGGGGCGACCGGCATGTATAGTATGTAGGTCAGTGGTTAACAAAAAAAAAATAAGTCTGCGGGAAACCCCTCTAGACTACTCCTCGAAGAATTGGTAAAATTTCAAACGGAAAATTGCGTTGTCACCGCAAAACAAGCGGCTACAACATTCTGTCACTGCAGTTTTACCGTGTTACCTACAACATACTGAACGAGGGACGTCCCCAAACGTTCTGAGGGATAATGGCTCAATAAAATTCCTTGCCGGAACCCTGTTTCTGGGCACTATCTCACCGTACATGAATCCATTTTCATCATAACCGGAAAGAGCGCGAATTTTATCCCGGCGAATCTGCTGCAAAAAACGGGATGTGATTGGTCCGCCTTCTCCTCGAAATACACCAATAGAAAAATGGAGCGAAAAGTTCCCCGGTACAATATTTTGCACCCCTCCTGTACAACAAACTACCTGGAATGGTGACGTACTTGTTCCGCAATTTCTTGCGCGCGCGCGAAACATAATTTTGAAAGAGTCATTTTGAAACATCGTTTTGCGGGGAACATATTTCTTCCTCGTCGGGAGGTTGCGGCGGTGTGGCCCGGACCTCTCGGTGGCAGGCCAAATAGGCACACAGTTATTCCAGCGTCGAAGGACTTGTCGATCAAGCTGTAGATTGGACGGGGCTTTAATTTGGTGGAGGATAGGCAACGTTTAGGCACAAACCGATCGAGATCGGAGCAATTTGGTGTCGGCGGCACCTGCTGCATGCTTGTGTTTCGTGCTTGACAGTGCCGGTCACCGACACAGCCAACCGTCAACACAGAAGGCGCCAATTAAGCTGAAACTTGCGGAGGGCTTCTACAGTAGTGCAGGACGGCCGATGGGGGTGATTGCTCGCGTCTCGGGCGTTCGGCACGACAAAGCGCGTGGTTCAGGCCTTCGGACTGAAAGTGATCGATCATTCATTCACATTTTTTTTTACCGTTCTCTGAAACCTCTAGAGACCGTATCGGTCTCTAACAGGAATTGCAACAAGGCGAAACAAGGCGCTTCAGAGTATCACGTTATCCGTTTCGCTCCAATGGAAGTGACATGATTCCTCTCTTACTTTCACAGGCCAGCGTTCCAATCACTACGCTACAGACGATGACGATCGCTGCGATCCATTCTTCCAATAGCAGTGGCCAAGCAAGTTGTTCTTCATCTCCGGGAGCAGCTATCTATGCTGCCGTGTTGTAGAAAGTCTTATCAGCTTCTTCAAGCTCTTTGTACAGCTCCTTCTCTTCATCTGGCATTCTGCATTTCTCCTCGGTGCCTGGATTGCCGGATTTGTCCTCATGTGACATCCTAGAAAACTGACGACCACCACTCCACCGTCGGCCGAACGTTTTGCTCATTAAGCTCTTGGCCGCGGTCGACTTGGAACATCGCACCCCGATCGTCTCCTGCTAGACAAGCGTAAGTTTCAATATGCATACAGTAGTTCACTCCACCAATCCGGTGGCTCAGTTGGTACCCTCGTAGCCTTCTGACTCTTAGGGTTCCGGTTCGAATCTTTCTGGGGTATAAAACCTCATTTTGGCCTGGGAAGCGCACAGTCGCAGGCAAACACAAACGACACGGAACTGTCGAATACTTATCGTGCCAAAAGTGAAAGCCAAGCACTGCAGGGGAAAAGGAAAAGAAAAAAAAAAACGTGGTTACCCTCCTTGTGCGACCCCGGCTGGTGCGTCGAACACATACAACAATGAATCGCTCAAGAAATAGTCTCGCTCTGGTACATACCACCCAACAGACATGAGAGCGCTGCACCTGGTTGGTAAAGTGTGTATATGCTGGCGATGGACGACCGGTCTCTTTGTCAGCGTCGGCATTCCCAGACCGCTTCACGCCTCGATGCACGGGGTGGATCCTGGGATTGACCAAACACCCAACACGTTTCACCGCTTGTAGAGAAAACTAGAAAACCGTTATATCTTCGAAAACGTACGATGGGTTGTCGTGCGACGCAGCCACAGACGAGTTCGACAAGTATGCCTCTCTGTTTCGCTTCGATTGTTGGGTCTTGTCCCTACGATCACACCGTGTCCGGCCAAGGGAGCACCTGCGGCCAAGCAACAAATATTTTCAGGACTAGGAAAAGTGGAAAACACGTTGTCCGTTCACGGCACACTCCGAACAGTTTGACGCCGGGCGTACGGGTGTAACCCATACACGTGCATTCGCAGCTTCCCTCGGGTTTGTGTCCCTTGGATTAGTTACAGTGCGATCCCAGGAAGGAAGAGGTGGTTCGCTTTGCCATTGCCTTCCATCTTTGTGTTGGTTGCAACGTTTATTCGTACCGCACATACGTAGTTTGGGATCAACGAGGCCTCTCGAAGCCAATCACCCAGCAGTCATCGCAGAGTACCAGGTGAAAAGTGTACTACCGATTGGCAGGCGGGATGACGTGCTTTCCCCGCTTTTTCGTAGGCAAGAATATCTCTGTACATCCATGCTTGCCCCAACGCCAAGGGCGCCTTCTCCTTCGGCTCGACTCTTTGGTGAGACAACTGTAGCTATTACGCTAACAACACGCGGTATTGTGTCAGTCGGTGAGCAAGACGAACAATTTTAGTGACGGTACCGCATGACACACCGGCTGCTCGTAGTACAAGGTAGGCCAGTATGTATCCACGACACATACGTTAAACACGTCCCTGTGTACCTGCGTTGTGGCCAGCGAACAGTACGTGACAGCCGTACACCGCGGCTTCGGTTCGCGCACATACCCAACGCGTTTCATCATGTCCACACGTAGGCTAGTGTGCCAGATCTGGGAACAACTACCAAGGAAGCGGCCAGGACAATTATTGGCGGCACTTACCTTGGATGGATACGGGCGCCGCCCACGGGTGGCGTGTATTCGGCAACCTCCTGCCGGGGGAAGGTTAGCACCGATGGTTGGGGTTGGAGAGGGTATGCTGTGTATGGAAAAAGGCCTGTTGTACAGCTACATTTATCCTCGTGCAGAGCTGCTTCTAGTGTGTGCAACTAAGGCGAATACGGTAGATGGTCTGCCCGCCGTATCATACACCACCTGGTACGCTTACGGCGATTGCGCAACAACAAGCGACTGTTCGGGTGCGGGGTGGAACCCTTAAAAGATGCCCCATTTGTCTCTCTGCCGGGACAGCGCTTTTTTCACGCTTTCTTCTGCACGGCCCTCAGAGCACCCGTCGGTACATTACCCGTTGCGTGTGGGGCTCGCTAGACATCGGTGGTGCGCGTGATGGCCGCTCAAAAGTCGCTGGCACTGGTTTTATGCCAGGGGTCGCGAATCCGCGCCACAAAAGCCTTCGCAGGATTTACAAAACATTCCATTCATCCGCACAAGAGGAACAATTTTGACATTTTGTCGCTTGCTCAAACCACACACGTTCCACACACCATGAACAACGCAGTACAAAGCATAAGAGGGAGAGAGAGGGCAAGAGCAACGGGTTAGATAAGTACGATCTGCGGCAAGGACGCCGAGACCCTATCGTATGTGTGCTTGGGACTCACCACGCCAACTGCTGCACAGCGGACACACGGACAAATAGGGAACGATACCGGCTCCAATTCAATGCCGATTACCCGCCGGGGTATTTCGCAAGAGGAAATGTTACTACCTGCCGATTGATCACAGAGATTCTGCGCAGAAACTTTCGAGCGATGACCGTACAAATAATCGCCGAAAAGCGTGTAGTTGAAGAACACAGCAGCAGTCTGTGTTTCAGCAGAAGTAGGATCTACGACAACGACACTGCGAGAGCGCACGCGAAGAGTAACGGCGAAAACCCGTTCCCCGCAAATTTTCCGCAGTTAGTTCACCCGAAGACAACCATGACACTACCGAAGGTAGGTTGAGATATTCAACGATGCAACCATGATAGCAGTGGCCATGTCCACTTGCGTCGCCGCCGGGAGGCAAGCGCACCTACCTCCCGAAAAGGACTCTTGTACAACAAACCATGGTAGTTGATGCAGAACCCAATTTTTGCAAAATGTGACCTCGAACAACATTTTCTTAGTTTGTCAGGACTGCAAGTGTGTGTGCGTATGGGACGCTACTGACTGCGGCAGGTTAATTATGTGCTTTTTGGCACCACTATCTCGTTTTTCAGACAGCAGTTCGTCAAGCTACAAGGTGGTATAAATGTTGCGCGCTTCTCACGCCGTGGGATTTTCGGTACTAATGATAGGTGTCACGTCGTTTATCTCAGCTCAAGAAACCAGAAGAACTCCGCTCCATGTCGTGTCATCATCGGAGACCCAATTATGGTTTTGCGCTAAAAAATGAGATTATGCAGCTCCTGTCCAAAACGAAAGAGTCAAATATGAGCAGAGCACAGAGAAATAAGGCACCTTTGCCGACAAGTGTTGGCTAGTCGCATGCAAAGAAGGCCACCAGAACGCGCCATAATTTTCATGCCCCAAGAGAGAGGGTCATTAAGGAAGCGCGCACTCGAGAATATTGTGTACCCTATATCTCCCAAGGCAAAACAATGAAAACCGGAAGGGAAGGGGGACAAAGGAGAGAAAGGCAAAGGTCGTCGGCGCTTTCAGTGGTACCAGGCTACAATCCAATCAAGTTACCCGCAGCGACCCTACGGGCCCTGTCGCACATGTACTACAGCAACACCAGGAGCAGCAGCGCGCCAGCTCACATGCAGTAGTGAGATACCCTGGTAACACGCCTCACTCAGCAAGAAACCAAAACCATAGCGAGCGCGAACGAGTCAAGAACAAGAACCCACATCTGACGCGCTCACGAACTACTGCAACCAGTACAATGATGCCCGTTCAAGTTGGTGAGACATGCACATCCTTACGCAAGCAAAGCGTCAAACCCTACATAGATACAGCTCAAACTATCACATGCGACAGTAGGAAACACGGGAAGTCCCTCTCAGCCCTCCTCATGGAACACAACAAAACACCTTGCTTTGTGGAACGAACCGGACCCTCGTATCTGTTCCAACCGCTGTTCGGATGGCGACACATACAAAGGTGGAGTTTTGGTTGTCACAGGAGACGGGAGCTGCTCAAACTTGGGGAGATATTATGACTTTCGATGCCCTGCTAACCCATGCTCAAGACGCCGCGAGACTTGCACTGCACCTTGAGACCGGATCGGGCAACGGTTGGGGTATCGAAACGCACAACCTCACAACGGGCATGTAGTCTAGGCCTCAAATAACTACAGGGTTTTACGGGCCTCCTGTTCCGAAGACACATTCCACTTGAAACATGTGTTTACTGCCGTAATATAGCCAAGCTCCATCACTACATATGATCTTCCCCTCTCAGTCACAGTAAAGTATACCAGACAACCATTTCTTGGCCTTGTTGAGCCTGGTTTCCACAGGGGAACAAGCGACCTGACACCAACAGGAGAAGTACTGTTGTACAAGGGCGATCGACGGCGACGATCGACGGAGCGACGGCGGCGCGATGGACGAAGGCGGCCCAAGGCCGCCCGATCGACCGACTGACCACCCGACCGGCCGACCGAACCCTACCCTACCCTACCCTACCCTACCCTACCCTACGTAACTCCAACCCAACCCAACCTAACCCAACCCGACCCAGTCCCCCGACCGAACCCAGCCCAACCTGACCCAATCTAATCCGACCCAGCCCAACGTATTCAACGCAAAAAAAAACGTACACGGTCGGTCGGGTAGAGACGAACCATCAACACACCAGAGCAAGAAACAACCCCCAAAATCCGCCTGATCCAAAGTGAACCGGCTGCAACAGCATGGCGACACTTGTAACCAACACGCCCCATTGACGACCTCTCCAAACGAACCACACACCAACGCGCAAAAACACTCCGCCTTAAACATGTAGTAGATAGAGACAAAGCAACGAAGAAGTAAGTCGTACGAACCAGGCCGCCCAATCGACAACCAACCGACCGACGACCGACCGACCCAACTCAACCCTACTCTACCCTACCTTATACCCTACACAACCCAACCCCAATACAAAACCTTACCAACCGGACCGACCAAACCCACCCTACCCCAGCCTACCTATACCCATCCAAACCCAAAACACAACCCAACCCCAACCCGACCGACCGATCGATCGACCCAACCCACCCTACTCCCAACCCAGCCCAATCCAACCACAAAACACAACCCTACCAACCGACCGACCAAACCTACACCCTACCTTCTATGCTACCCTACCCAACCCAAATTTAAAACCAAACCAACCCAAACCTAACCCCAAAACACAATCGCCAACCCGACGGACCGACCGACCGACCGATCCGACCCTACCCAACCCTACGCTACCTCACCCTACACAAACCAATCCAATCCAATAAACAACCCAACCCCAATCCGACCGACCGACCGACCAACAATACCTACCCTCTCTCCAACCCAACCCAACCCGACCCCAAAACACAACCCGAATAACCGACCGACCAAGCCGACTCTAGCCCCAACCCACCCCCCGACCGACCCTACCCTACAATCCAACCCGACCCCAAAACACAACCCGAACAACCGACCGACCAAGCCCACCCTACCCCCAACCAAACCCCCGACCGACCCTACCCCACCCTACGCAACGTTGCCTTCCCCTACCCCTACCCAACCCAAGTCAAACCCAACCCCAACCCAACCGACCGACTGACCGACCGACCGACCGACCGACCGACCAAGCCAACCCACCCTACCTCCAGCCCAACCTGACCCGGCCCCAAAACACACCCATACAACCGACCGACCAAGCCCATTCTACCTTCTACTCTGCCCAACCCAACCCAACACAGGTGGCCAGTGGGCACAGTTGTACGGGGGCGTTGTGTAACCTCCGGCCAACGAGGGGTTATTACATGGGATAACGTGGGGGGGTTACAGGCCGAGCGGGCATAACGTGCCGGGTTATAAAAGCGGTTATGCGCGGATTGGTGTGAAGGAGGAGAAAAGAAAAAATATTGTGTGAGCTTCCCCCTCCCTTCCATTTATTGTATTCCACCCTACCATTGGGTTAATCAAGCGATATATCGACAGCCGAATTTCCTCTCTTTCAAGATGACTAGCGCAGGAACATCAAACAACGCGGAGGGAATCGAACCAGCAAACTGTGTCTGTAAAGTCTAAAGGTGTACCGCTACGCTAAATGTTGAAGCATATCACGTATTACTCGTAAAGTCCATCATGAATCTCTAGTGATGATGGGGGTGTACTCATAGTCGTGCATGCCGCAGTCCTCAGACTATTGACCTCGCATCCCTACAAAGCCGGGACGGAGCACGCCGGGTTTCCACCGGACCATATATTCGGCGAGTCGCATGAAGGGTGCGCTGCATCCTGCTAAAGGTGTTCGGCATCTTGTGCTTACTTTCTTGCATACGGATGACAGCTGGGTATAGCTCAATTCATGTTCTGGTGCTTTCAATCCCAGAAACAGTTGTAAGCACTGTGTAGCTGCCTCGAGGGTGCTTGACCATTTTATCACAACGTGGTACGATCATCCCTCTTGCGCGGAGTGAGGATTCTCCACCCCGCACAACAAGATCCACTTGACCACCATTCATTATGGTTACCGCCAAAAAAAAACAGAGGTACAGAAAAACGGTAACCTGGTTGCCGAGCTCACGACATGAGTTGGCTTGTTTTACAACGTCGTTGCCAAGCGACGAAAACCCAATCCCGATGGCAAACACCGGGG